GGGGGGGACCACAGGTGAGGCAAGGATTGCAGCCCCTTCTTGTCTGGGCTATGCTTTAAATCCCTCCTTCAGCTACATAGGTATTTGGCAAGGACCGTGTTCTGTCACACAGAAGGTATCTGAAATGGTAAGGGGCAGGCCACTCTCAATTATCCTAGCCCAATCTGCAATTTGTCGTAGGGTAATAATAACACTGGCTTACCTTCCTGGCTTTTTTGTAAGGATCATTGATAATCTAAGTGAAACACTTGGACACTCTGAATATGACATACCAGTGCAAACACTTCCGGAATAAATGGTGCAAATTGAAAAACCATATGCAGATATCTTTACTTTTTACCAGAGGCTCAGACAGCAGAATTTGCTTTTTCTCAGCACAGAATTTTGAACTTTTCTTTTGGTTGTAGAGAGTGCACACAGTCCTGACTAGCAAGCACTCCATGCAGAGACACTGGAGTCTTTGTATGTTCAAAGAATGAAACAAACCAAATAAAGACAACCTATGCAGAGAAGGGAAAAGCAAACTGTGCCTGGCTGCACCACGAACCAGTGGGACCTGATCCTGTCATGTACCTGCTCAAAACAACCTTCTGAGTAATGCGCAGATTACCTGCTCTACTACCCTTTCCCTATGCCAGTTATACTGCACAAGTCTTATGTTTCTATTGTGAAATTGTAAATGACCTTTAAGGAAATGTGTTGGGAGGACACATCTAGTCCATATTTTTAGCTAAAGATTAAAAAACAAAGGTTCTTCCCTTCTTTAACATCAGTGGTAGCTCCTTAAAGATGTTTTACTGGATTATCCATTGTCCTATTTCCTTTCTGAGGCTCCTTAAAATGGCATGTGATAGTGTTATATAGGTTCCAGTTTGCCTGTATCTTTGTATCACGATGCACCTTTCTATTGATCAAATATGTGTTACCTTGACCAGAGGAAAACGTGTAGCATTGAATGATACACTGCCTTATGTTGGCTGTGTTTCATACTACGTATAAGTATTTGTACAATTGCATGGTTATGGGTCCATAATGACAAGAAATGAACTTCTGGTTGCTCCACTCACACAGAGCATCAGTGTGGGTATGTCTGAAAACCCCATAGGAGCCAGCATACCATTCCCCATAGGGCACCTCTAGTGTTAGGTGGAAATGCAGCATGGGCCAAGCTGTTTACTCCCAGGTGAGGATCTTCCACACATAACACCCATGATAGATGTTCCACCCATGCTCCTGGGAACATTTAGCATATCATTCTTTCCTACACCATCAGATATAGCTCTAGCTCCTCCTCTCCCTTGGAAAAGCCTATGAGGCCAAAGGAAGAAAGGTATGAAAAGGCCTCAAGAAGGGCGCAACTTGGCCTCTCTGTCATGCTTCCAGTAGTACAGCCAGGGCCTTTTCTAGCATTAGGCAGAGTGGGGTGGTTCAGAAAATGGACGCTGAGGGTTTCCAAGAGGAGCAGTGGTGGTCGCCTGGCCATTATCCTAAGCCCCCTGATTGTTCCCACTCTGTTGGAAGACAGAGCTGCATGTGCCACAAAGCTACACACACACAGCTAGCCTGCTGACCTCCCATGTGACGGAGGCTGGCTTCTTTGACATGGAATTGGGGTTGCAGTGATGGCCATCTTGTCCTTGCCTCAGACTGGAGAATGTTTTGGGTGGGCTCTGAGCTGGGGCTGCCAAACGAGTGCCAGCCACCCTTGGGAAGGGAGGGCTATACCGGCTCCTATGAGGTGAAGTTGTGTGTGTGGTGACAGGGAGAAGCAAGGAGTGGTGCACCCAGCTTAATGAGGCCAAGAAAGTCACAGCTTAATATTGTCAAGCAAAGTAAATATGTAAGAGTTACAAAGAACAAAAGCAAGTTGTTTTGTTATCTGGAGCTTGACACTAAAACTGCTTTCCTGGTTTCTTTGTCAGGGTATTTCCATACATTTACACAAATGTCAAAGTTGTGCCTTTGGACCTATTCTGTGTTATGTATGTGTGTGGGGGAAATTATTGTATTTTGGGGAAACTCTTCTCATTGATATTTTGGTCATTTCATAGTTCTTTGTGATTTTTTTTGTAGAAAACTATTAACATAGGGAGGGTTTTTTTGCTTCTGTATTATATAAAAAAGGAAAAGCACCAAACAATTATGGTGGACTTATTACCCTATGGGTAAGATATAATTACAAGGAGATGTGACATCAGGCATTTTAATAATTGTTTTGTAAATAAAATATTTGATAGCACTCAACAGTGGTGATAACCGTGTTTATGGTTACAATGGAAATGTGTTATTTGTACAGTTACCCAAGATATATGAAGGATTTTCACACTTAAATAAAAAAATCCAAATACATAAAATCAAGAATCTTAGCTTAATTTATTTGAAATGTCTGTGTTATAAACAGGTATTGTGTATGTACTGTATATCAATATAGTCCACATCTCAATCTGTATGCCAGGAGAGAATAGCTAGCATGCAGTTAAAAAGGGAGAGGTAAGAGCCTAAGCTAAGTTAGCAGGTTTGTGTAATGAAAGTTTCCCGTCCCCTCCTTGAAGGGTGGCTGTGTGTCCCCTTTTACAGAGGACTGTCCGCTGTTTACAACACTGGAATGACTGCTTTGGGGTGGGCAGTTTAAATTAAGTTTTAAACAAATGTGTGGCTTATATATTTATTTACAAGTATTTATAAACTGTTTAAATCTAAAGATTGCAAAGTGGTGTACACAAATAATAAACATATGGACTTACAAATATGCAGTCTGAAGAGAACAGAAAACAGAATCCTGTTCATTTGATTTTCGTTATAAATATGGGCTTGTCCCCCCTCCTCCAAATCAAAACCCTCTGCATATAGCTTGTGACAATAGACTACAACAGCAAAACTTTGTTCCAGATGTTGTAGTTGATTCCTTCCTGGCAGGAGAGGCTGGTGCTTCTCATCCATTGCAGCTTTTTTAAAAGCTTTATAGGAGCTATCTATGGTGTTGAATCTGAGTGGTTCAGCACCATGAACAGCTCCTATACATCGCAAATGAGAACTGCAATGAATGAGGAGGCCCACTTATTAGGAGTTAGCAGGATCCCGTTTACAGGATCTGGCCCGAATGTGGCAAGTATGGTGCACACTAATTAAATGTCTTTGCTTCACATACTCTGTCTTCAGTGGATGGGATAAAGAAAAACCAGGAACAGTGCACCATTGCACAGAACTTGTGAAACAGAGCTCTGATACCCCTTTTTTCCTCCACAAAGCAAAAGTCACCTTGGGAGGAGAGAATTCAGAACAGAGTCATTGCAGGGTAACCCTTTTCACACGTGCCGTTTGACTTAAGAAGGAGAAGCAACTCTTGGCTCAACTAGGAAAGCAAAGGGAGTATTAGCTTGCACAAAGGAGATGCAAGAAGACAGTAAGAGCTGAAAAATGCAAAGCAGTCTTCCAAATATAACACCAAATTTTTAAAGGATCTAGGAGGATTCAGGAAATTACAGACCAGTTAATATCTGTTTTAGATAAATTGGGTGAAAATGCTATTAAAAATAAAATTAGTAAACATATAGAAGGACAAGCCTGGCCAAGAAAGAACCAGCATGGCTTTCACAAAGGTAAGTCTTGTCTCACTGACTTCTTAGAGTTCTTTGAAATGGGAACAGACCTGTGGACTGGAATGATCTGTCGGCATTACTTGGATTTCCAAAAGGCTTTTGACAAGATCCTTACCAATCACTCCTGAGCAACCTTAGAGCCATGGTGGTTAAAGTATAGAAATCAAAGTAGGAATAAATGGCAAGTTCTTCCAAAGGAGGGGTATAAATAGTAAGGGTCCACAGAGATGAGCATTGAACCAGTACTTCACAATTTTTACAGAAATTATCTGGAATTGTGAATGAGCAGTCAAGTAGCCAAGTTTGCTGATGATACCGAACTAAAACAGAAAAGGATTCTGAGGACTCTGGGCATCAAAAAGGCAAATGTGGTTCAATGTGAGCAAAGGGTTTCACCCTCCCAACTCTAAAAGCTTGTGATGCCTCTTCTAAGACTTAATTATTTGGAGTGAGTGTTTTAAGCTAAAATGTGCTGAAAATGTTGCTACTTTAGCTCTATCCTTTTGCATTTGACCAGCCCACCCTTGGGCCCAAAAAGCTTCACTATTCCTGATAGATGTGTATGAAGAGAGTGGGTTTTACACAGAGCAGTGCAATTCTGAAAGACTTTCATTACCTTTGGGCATTCAGGGGGAGCGGGGGAAGAGAAGATACTCAGCAGGCACATCGCTGTGAGCGCTACATTACTCAAATGAATCCCAATTTTTTGTCAAGACTACCTCTTGCTTGGGGGTCACCAGCCTTTGACAAAAATGGCCTCTGACCTTCCCCAAATCTTGCAATTCTGTTATGATTGACCCCAAAAGCCATTTAATTCTCAGACAGGCAGACATAGCTTTAGTTCAATCTATCTAGAATGGGGAAAGCTCATGCCATATACTCAAGTGAAAAATTCTTGTCAGATCTTTGAGCCGGGGGGGAGTGCAATTTATTCTGCGCATTTCTTTCAGAGTCTAGTTCTTACCAATTTTCTTGCTACCAAAGGTGTGAACTAAAATGTACATCCAACTAATGCCTCCCAGCATTAACTAGCTCAAAAGACCCCCAAGACACCTAAATCCATGCACTTCTGTTGTGGGGCAGATTTGGGCATTCAAGCATTGCCAGACCCTTTTTCCTTGAAGGATTTATTTATATTTTTAATTTAGGTCTGTAAACTAAGCATTTAATTGTTCTGGCAAGGTGTTTCAGCACTCGCTTGTATAGGAGTTGCCAGCATCGTGACCTCAAGGTGTGTTCAGTCATGCAGTTGCACATCAGAGAGAATGACTAAGCTCTTCAAGGTTGCTAAGCAAATCTGCCCTCTCCCAGAGTAATGGAACACTTGCTGGTGAATGCGCAAGTGCCTTCTTATGGACTCCCATCACGGCTGGATCTCCTTTGAAGTGAAAGCCTCGAAATCTTCCGCCTGGAGCAATCTGGAAAGCAAACATTAAATGCCGTAAATGAAATCCAAAAAGCACAAGGCAAACTTTCATGTACTCTTTCGTTTTTGGCTTCCCCAACTCTGGACTATAGTTCCTAGCATTACTGACAAGTTGGTTGGGACGTGCTGGGAGTTGTAGGCCTTTTTTTTAAAACATCTGAGCTTTCATAGAAAGTGCATTAAGATGAAGAATTAGCTGGACAGAGCAATGTTTTAGATCCCATTTTCACACACAAACCACACACAAGGTAACACAAAAAAGTCTAATGAAAGGGACTCTGCATCCCTGTTGCCTGTAGGGTGATTGGCTGCTGACAGAGTTCTTCATTCAGTTAAAACTTGCTCATTATAAAGTCACTTCAGTTGAGGCTCTCTGTTTAACCAAACATTTTAGCACTTTCCCACAAGTCCTGACCAGAGGACCTTCATGTGGACAGCACCACTGGTAAGTAAAGTGAACCAATAATGAAAAATACCCATGTGGATCTGTTTCAACCAAAACCAACCATTTTGCACACCTGAAAGATTAGCATGATTATTATGGTATAAGTTATAGTCTATAGTAATAGTCACATGAAGTTATAGTCTATAGTCAGAGGGAAGTTAAATGCAGGAAGTGTAGACAGTGGCAGATACATTAACAATGACCATTTGGAAAATGCTGGTGATAACACAGACATCCTGGCATTGGTAGGTTAACACATCATGTTGTTGTTAGTACCCCATGGACAACATTCCTCCAGGCCTTCCTGTCCTCCACCATCCCCTGGAGTCCACCTAAGCTCATGCCGACTGCTTCAGTGATTCCATCTAGCCACCTCATTCTCTGCAGTCCCCTTCTTCTTTTGCCATCTATTGTTCCCAGCATTTGGCTCTTCCACAGGGAGTCCTTCCTTCTCATTAGGTGGCCAAAGTATTTGAGTTTCATCTTCAGTATCTGGCCTTCTAAAGAGCAATCAGGGTTGATCTCCAGGACTGACCGGTTTGATCGCATTGCGGTCCAAGGGACTCGCAGGAGTCTCCTCCAGCACCACAATTCAAAGGCCTCAATTCTTCGGCCCTCAGCCTTCCTTATGGTCCAGCTTTCACAGCCATACATTGCAACTGGGAAAACCATAGCCTTGACTATACGCACTTTTGTCAGCAGGGTGATGTCTCTGCTTCCTAGTATGCTGTCTAGATTTGCCATAGCCTTCCTCCCCAGGAGCAAGCATCTTTTAATTTCTTGGCTGCAGTCCCCGTCTGCAGTGATCTTGGAGCCCAGGAAAATAAAATCTGTCACTACCTCCATTTCTTCCCCATCTATTTGCCAATAAGTGAAAGGACTGGATGCCATGATCTTAGTTTTCTTAATGTTGAGTTTCAAGCCAACTTTTGCACTCTCCTCCTTCACCTGCATCAAGAGACTCTTTAGTTCCTCTTCACTTTCTGCCATTACAGTGGTATCATCTGCATATCTGAGGTTGCTGATATTTCTGCCGGCAATCTTAATTCCAACTGGTGATTCATCTAGCTCCAACTATGCATGTAGTCTGTTGATTAAAAGGTTAACATGTTTATCAATAGTTCTAATTCTAAAACACATCAAAAAATTGTAACCATTCTTAGAGCTCTGTATGACTCATCTCCAATTTCTATCTGCTTAATGCAGCAGTTCTGGACAGTTACCTCAGAGAAAGTAACTGTACAGAGTCACCACAATGAACTCAACGGGAAAGTGACTGCACACAGTTCTCAACTGTGTACTTGCACTGAACTCAATGTGTCCAATATTACAGTTAACATATACAGGATTGCACTGCTTATCTTTCATAGAAGCAAGATTATAAATTACAGTATAATCTTATGCATGTCCACTCAGAAATAGCTCCATTGAGTTCCATAGGATTTATATTCAGATTAGTGCATACAGGATTACACTCTCAGATTCCCTTGCTTCTCTTAGAATCTGTTCCACATTAAACCACACGCACACATCTCATGTTCAAGGCAAATGTTACTGCAGTCCGGTGCTCCAACCATCATATCATACTGGTTCAAGCCTCCCATACCTACATGTGGTGGTCCCAAACAAGAGCAGAGCCCTGTATGCAAATGTAGAGATAAGAAGGGGGATCAGCTGGTATGTTATAGTTCACAATCCAATCACAATCCTTACTCACAATCCAATCCTAAACAGATCTACTCAAAAGTCAGCACTATTTAATTCAATGGAAGGTATTCCCAGGTGTAGGACTGCACCATCAAACAGGTGTTAAACAAATAATGACAAAAGAAAAAAAAATCTAGATTTTTGTGCGTCCTACTTTACAGAGGCTTTTTTACAACAAAGGTGTACCTCTGCAAACCCAGTTTTAAAGATGAAGGACCCTAAAGAGAGAGAGCAGAAGCTCTGAATCACCAAGGAGCACCTGGACAACAGAGGAAGCAGAAAGCAGGACAGCAGATCAGTCTCTTCTATGAGATGTACTATCCATTTAAACTCCCCCCCCCCCAAATTTAGGCTACACACATGAACTAGAACGTGCAAATTTTGGGCAAATCTATGTCTTCTTTTGGGATGATGCACGTCCACTTTTTGAAGCAATGCATAAGTAGCTGCCCAGGTCTCGATTGAATTGCAAACGAACAGCATCAAACATGTTGTTGGTCAGTTGTAATGCATCGATCTCCCACGGGAACCCCACCCACTTCTCCGTATTCCTTTGTTCAAACCGGCCCCGCTTTACAATACAAGGACTAGAAGGACCACAATGCATTATATTCCATCGAGCGTCTCTTACTTGCACTGCTTGCCGGGAAATGTAGTCTTTCTTAAGAACCGCTCCGCCTATTCCTTCCGCGCGCGCACCCTCCTCCCGAGGTAAACAGAATCCAACCAATAGCGAGTGGCCTACCCAACTATTCGGCTTCCTGACAGCCAATCGGCGCGGGCATTTTCTCTGAGGGGGCCGGCGTGGTGGTCTCACCGTGGCGTCATTCGAGGTGAAAGGTAGAAGGGTCAGGGAAAGGGAGGCTGCGGTTCGAGCGGCGCTGCCGCTGCCGCTGCCGCTGCCGCTGCCGCACACCGGCGCGGGGAGGTGGGGGCCGTCCGGCCGCGCCCTGCTCCAAGATGGCGTTGGAAGCGGTGCTGGCGGCAGTCAGAGGGCACGACGGGGCCGAGACCCTCTTAAGCCGCTTCAATGAGCAGGTAATGACGGAGCGTCGCTCACCCCGCCTCCCTGGACGGCAACGCCCCCTTAGAACGCTCTTGGCCCCTCGCTGTACCGCTTGGACGCGCCAGCCCCGCAGTGTGCCCCGTCCCTCAGTGTAACGCTCGCGCATTCTTCACAGGCGTTCTCGGTCCCTCAGTGTAACGCGCCGGGCACTCGCGCGAGCCCCGGAGGCGCTCCTTGTCCTGCAGCGTAATGCCGGTATCTTACTGTATCATCTGCACACCCGTCCCCCGCTTTTACCAACCCCACAGGCGCCTCTGGTTTCTCAGTGCAACGTCCGCCCTTCTGCACAATGTGAAGTCCGGTTAGACCCTTTCAAATAGCCTCCCTTCCTCTGTGGCCGTGGCGAAGATGCGGGGTGCTCCGAACGGCTTCCGAGCTGTCGTTCTTGGCACGCCGAAGCCCCTCCATTCAACGCAGTGGGACTTGTTTCTGAGCACACATGTAAGATGCAGTGGTCCTTCTCATACAGCTGCTCTTGTTTGTCAAATATATACGAGGAGTCAAACCTTTCTAGCTTTACCAGCCTCGCATTTTATTTCTAATTCTTGTCCCATTTTCCCCAGGAAATAAAGTGATAAGTTCTTGCATTAATTTAATTGAAATACATTATTGTCCAGTGTACTGCCTTTCATCTGACTACCCCCGCCCAACCGCCAACACACACTCTTGCGTAGATAATTGTTTGATAGTTCCTTCTCCTTCTCCATATTCTTCCTTACCCACAAGCCGTTTTTTTCTGTTTGATTGGCTGTTTGTGCATTATTTCTGATTTCTTCCAGAATGGATCTTCCAGTGTAACTTACATCTTCCTAATACATTTTTCCCTTAGAGTAATGGCTTGCTTCTTCTCTCATGTAGTCGTATAAAAAAGCAAGCATCTAACAAATGTAAGAAGCAGTTTTAGCAAAAATAAATGGCACTGTTTGGCTGTAACAGTACAGTAGGGATTGGAATCTAGTTAAATAATATTCAAGGACCTGTATTATGTTGTGATAAATGTTTTGAAAAAAATAATATCTATTAAATCAGTATTTGACATTCCTGCTCAACCCACAATAGGATAGCTATTCCCCCCTCCCCCAGTCTAGCATTCTGTGTTAGTATGAAGAACAGAAAGTAAAATGTTTTATTTAGCAGTATTAGATGGCTGTGTGTTTCTCAGCTATGGATTGAACCATTATGTACCCATGCTTCTGCTTTGGGTAGAATGCTCTAAGCAAGGTTAGCTTTGAGCATTGAAGCTCCAGCTGGCCCACTGGGTGGTTGCCTAGTTACTGGAGTGCCAGCTATAGCAACACTGTTCCACTGATCTACATTGCTCACTAGTGTATTGTGAAGGTAATTAAAATGTCTGATTAAAGGAAAAGGTTTAGACCGTGTTGCAATACTTATTTCTTGATGGGTGTCCTCAAAGTGTTATGTAGCTGGGGTCAAAATTATACCAGGTCATTTGTACAGAGTAGTCCCATGCGATTCTGTGGAGATTAACTTGTCACGTTCATGCATTTTATTAGAAGACTGCTGATGCAATAACTGTTTCATTGCTGAATATTTTAGTAGGTGTCTCCACTTTCTTGTAATTTCTACTTAGTTACTGTGACTAATAGCCAATTATTGATCTCTCCTCCATTAACCATGTAATTCTTTTCAAAAGCTATCTTAGCAAAAGGCCATGATTGCAGTCTTGGCAAACACCCCTTTGCTGACCAAAGGAATCTTTGATCATAATATTTTTACAGTGCAGTCCTGAGTACAGTTACCTGAACAGTGCCTCCTCAGTGTTTTGGACTACAACCCCCAACAGCTCCAGCCAACATGATCAATGAGTTATCCTCTCCCCCACCCCCATTTCAGTTCTAGGCTGGTGTAGTTAATGAGGAAATGAGAGGGCTTTGTCTCCCACAGATGGAAAACTGTCCCTGGTACATCCAATTTCACAGCCTACAACTAGCAGAATTCCTGCACTAGGCTTATCAGGGGCATCTACCAATGGAGTTCCTCTCCACTTATATGTTAAACTACCCACACTGTGTTGGCCACTGGAGGGGTGGGTAGGCTTATTTATTTATTTAAGGTTTTTATAGACCGCTCATCTACTAGTGCCTTGGGATGGACTGTTTGCTCTGTTGAGCTCTAAAATAATCATAATATGACAATGAAATTAGTGGTGACTTCAAAGCTTGGTTCCTGTTTAAATGTGGGTATAATATAGGCATGGAAGCCTGTACCCTTTTATGTCAGTGACAGAAATACTTAAAACTGTATGGCAGATAGCCTTGAATTCTAATTGATTCAGATTCTGATGTAAGGTTGATTAAAAACCTATTCTAACAAAACCAAAGTGTATACTTGCAAGTAAAAATTAAATTTTGTTTCTTCAGAATAGGGCCACTTTCAAATTTGAACCATCAGATGAAGAGAAAAGAAAGGTAAGCATATTAAAGCTGACTGTTAAATAGCATGTGCATTTTCTTTCATTTTCACATAGTATCACATTTTTTATGTTTCATATTTTTTCAAGCTGTTTTTATGTTTCTACTATTTATACATTTATATGAAGTGTTTTATGCTGCTTCTCAACTACTTGTAATCTGATAGTACCCACCCACAGGCCTTGAATATAAATTAAATATGGAATTTAATATAGAATTTTAAGTAAATATAAAGGCACACAACACACAAGGAATGGGAAGGGATCAAGAGAAAAAATAATTTGCTTAGCAGGGTTGCTGGAACGGTCCTCCTCCTCCTTAGCTCAGCCAGTGGGAAAGGCTGATGGTGGTGACAGTTCAGGAAGGAAGAACAATGCGAAGCTTTCACAAGGACCATTTCTTGGGGGTTCTTTTTGTTTGCTAATTTGGTGTCAGCGTGGCAGCTAATAGTACCTTATATCAAACTTGGTAACACTTACAGCATGAAATCTGTGTCATAAAGCTAAAATTGTCATGGGTCAGCTTATTAGAATAAGCTGTTCTGGAAAGTTATAAGGACAGAGAGTTCTTGAATAAGTAGTAATGAATTGTACCGTGGGGGTACATTGGTTCGTCTGATTTCTGTTATGCCTTTCAAAGGTGTTTTGTCTCAGGTTATCCTTTGATCCAAAACCGTACAAGTGCAAATGGATGAATGTTCAGCTTCATTGTTTTGTGAGCCACTTTGGGTGTAATGTTTGGATTGAGATTGTACATTTTAAAGAGTTGATGCAGAGATGATGATCCCATTGTGTGAAGGTATTCTTCCTCCCTGGAATGCTGGAGGTTGACTCAGTATGCACATTTTTCACATTGACCGGGTACATACAACATTGTAATGCATTGTGGGTAACAAGCCATGGTGAGTTGAATCTGGATGACTTTGCACAGGGTTGGTTGGTAGTGGCCAGTAAGCCATTTTCACAGTCTATGGTTTCTTCCAAGGTTTATTGTACCCATGATGGATTTTTGGGCAGCTGACCCCATTTTGTATATAAGGAAGTAGTGAAAAGACACTCAACAAGAGCTGCAAAACATTCTAGCTTTTCTGACGACTGCCAGGCACTCTACCAGTTGCCCAAGAAGCACTTTGAAATAACCATCACTGGCCAAGTCTTCCCTGCACAGTTCATGGTCCCTTTTGCTTACTTTCCCCTTCTATTCTTTTTCCCACATCAGGTGATGGCTTTTTATGATCTTCAAAGTGCCAGACAGTGGCAGCCCTTTCAGAGTGCCGAAGCGACACAGTGGAGTTGCTGGCACTGCTTTGTCACCCATTTATTTTGCACCTAAGATTTGCATAAATGATTGTTTCTTTTTGTCAAATCTTCAGAGTCATAGAGTCTCCTGTCAAAGTACATGATATTAAAAAAGCTATGCTACAAATGAGTTAGTTTGTTGCTTTACTTCTTATTTGACAGCTGGGTAGTAGCAAGCAGTCAGTTGAGAATCAAAGTGGCAAGGGGATCTTTGATGTCAAAAGATGGTGGCATGTAGATCACCCAACAACATATGTTATGTTAAGGGGGTTTGTTTGTTTTGGTCCTGATTATTCTCACTGTCTTTCACCGTTACCACCTTCGTTAGATTCCAGTTGCTTGGAATAGTGGAAGCATGTGACACACCCCATTTGTGAGAGCACAGGGTTTGGACAGCTGTCCTGCATGGATACAAAGTAGACCTTGAATACTGCTGAACAATAGGCAATCTTTGCTTCTTTTCTTACTGCACAAGTAGAAAAGTGGGTGCAACATCACTAATTGATCAGTTTTGTCCCAGTTGCCCATATTAACAGCTGCAGTTAATATGAACTAGTCATATGAAAAGATGTGTTGAGTTTTTGCCCAGATTCTAAGTAGTTAAATTGGTTGATGATAGTTTATTTTGTCCGAAAGCTGTTCCTCTGCAACGGCTGTTACAAATAGTATTCTTGATGGTCAGCATATATTCTTTTCCACTTTACCTCATTTGTAGTAAGTATTCTGTATCATTTGGCAGCTTACCAGCTTGCCATGTTATATACACACTATGGCAAGTTGCCATTTTAGAAATGGTCTATATCCACTCTGTGAAATCTGATGATTTTATATTTTGCCCCAGGTTACCGAGTAGCATTGCCTTCTCTTTAGGGCATAAATATGTTGGGTCATAAGGGTAGATGGGTAAAGGTGAAACAGTGAAAGAATATAAGAAGTCTGGTCATGTGAGGACATCACAGTGCATCCAAAACAGGCAAATAATGCAGGCAAGTCTGTGAATCATTTTCATCTGCAAAATTCACCCATGTTCCCTAGCAAAAATGTTGGATGGCAAAGGAACCTTTTCATGCTGGCATGTGGTTAATATTTAATAAATTAGACCTTGGCTGTTCCCAGGAGTCTGTTTCCTCCCTGCACTGCTGCCCTCTTCCCCCACCCGGGTTGGGCCAAGTTCTCAGCTGCACTACAGTTGAGAGAAAGACTTCCACTATCATAAGAATCTTTTGGATATTTAAAATAAACACTTTCTGAACCTGATTGCTCTTGACTTAAGGGTGGGAAAGTAGAAGCATATTGGAGAATGAATCCTGAAAACAGGAACTGAATATAAATATGTTATTCTGGCTTCCTGAGAAGACAGGCATCTTAGAAATATGCAGATGCTTCACTGACTCACTATGTGAACAGATCTGTAACTTAATAAGGGTAGCTCAGCTTTTGTTCCTATTAAATCCATAATTGCTTGCTGTTCCTATTCAGTAAGTCATTTCACATCTATTTGTTTTGTTGCCCATTTGGCTTTTGCCTGCTTAGCAAAAATGTTATATGACTTATCTGATATTTTCTTGATTATCATAACATGCTGACATAAAATCCTGCGGCATGCAGATAGAAAGGAGGAGGTTTAGATGCTTTTCGAACTAAAAATAAACAATGGATAGCTTTAGTCAACCTATTTCATAGGGGTCTTATGAGGATAAAATGGAAAAAGGGTAAGTTGCTTTGGATTGTTTACAGGAAAAAGGCAGGTTGCAAATATTATGAAAAAAGAACTTTACTCACCATTCACTGGTAGCAGATACAAATTGGCTAGTTATGGAGGGTTGCACTTCATATGTCACTTCTCTTTTGCTTTTTTGGGACATGATATCACTATAAGTACCTGAAAGGCTGTCACAAAGAGGCTGTCAAGAGTGTAGGACACAGAATAATCAACTTAAGTAACAACAACCCAGGTTTAGGCTAGATATCAGGAAAAGTTTCCTCACTGTCAGAGCAATGCAACAGTGGAACCAGCTGTTTAGAGAGGTGATGGGCTGTCCCACACTAGAGACATTCAGAAAGAAACTAGATAGTATTCTGAGTGGGATGGTATAAACAGGTGACCTGCAACAGCCTTCTCAGCCCCTTCCAACTCTACTATTCTATGATTCTATCTCCACTCCTGTGCACTCCTGTCTTTATCTCTGACCAGTTTAGACCAGCGCCCTTCCACTGCATTATGAACACAGGTTGCACAAATATTTGAAGGTGAATTCTGTTCCTAGATTCCAAACAAACCCTCAGTATGTAGCCGAAATTAAAATATAACATTGACGCTACAGATCCATCTTTCTTCCTTGCAATTTGCCAATGTCACTTTGCATTTATCTTAGATAAGCCTTTCTTCATCTGGTAATCTAAAGCATTTGGATGGCAGAACTCCCATCAGTCCCATCCAGTGTGACTGGGAATGATGGGAATTGCAGTCTAACATTTGGAGGGCAGTGGGTTGGGAAAAGTTGTCTTCTGTCAGCCCTCTTTAATTATATCAATGTTGAGTGTCAGTGTAGCTGGGAAATTCCACAAGGCAACCAAATCTGTTTGTGTTAGCAAAAGTGAAGAGGCTTGCACCATAACTACTAACTAACTTACCAGGTTTTCAGCGGTTAAAGAGCCCACTTTGCCAGCTGCATGATATGGTAGGTGTGACTTGCCCTGGCCAGTGGGCCACAAGCTACAACTAGCATGACACCACAACCATGCTAAGGAAGGTTGTTTAGGAGGATTAGATCTTAGTTTTCTTCCTCTGCTTACTAACGTAGGTTCAGCTTTAATAGGAAATGTTATTCTTAGGGGCTGTTGCAGTTAAGATTTTAGCCCATCTCTTATTATAGTATCTTAACTTATCTCTGGATCATACAAGTGTGTGTGTGAATTATAGAGGAACTGGAGGAGAAAGCAGCTTATTTATAGTCCCATTTTATTCCTGAAGTTCTCACTGACTTGATTATAACCATTCTGCCAATGAAAGGCTGCAGGACTAGATTGAATTCAATAAATTAAAAGCATGCCTATCTCATGAGCCCCCTGCAGAGGGCTTAATTAAAATCAACTCAGAATCTAAAATTGAGAAGGCCTTGGGTCAAAAGACATAATGGACTACAAAATCTTAAAGCTAAGCCAGGAGAAAGCCGCTTGACATGATGCCAATTATCATTTGTTTGGGAGAGGAAGAACACCATACTCTGGGAATAATCTCCAACAAGTCCAAGTACTGGGACCACCAGTGACCCTGTGCAAAGTGGTGTATGGCCCTTTTTTCCTGGCTGGGCATTTTTGCTTTGCTGTTTGTGTGCTTTCTAAGTGGCTGTTTCTAAAGAAGAAAATGTGAAATTAGGAAAGAAAATCTATTTTTTTGGTTTTTTAAGTCTACATAGACAAAAACATAACAAGTGGTCTCACATGTTGCTAAACCTGGTCTCCATTGTCACCTGTCAGAAATACATATGAGTTATGGAGCAGTGAGTGGAATTGTTAAACATAGTAAATGTGGCAAAACAGTAAAATGGAAAGATAAATTGTGGAGCTTCCCAGGTAAAGCAGTAAAGGGGGATTTTGCAAAAATCTCATGGCAGAGCTGTAAAACTGAGGGGGAAAATACATAGATTCTTAGCAGGAATTTTACTCCCATGTAGTTGTGTTGGATTGAGGGGAAAATAAAATTAAAATTGTACTGTATTGTATTTTATTTATTTATTTCTGTGAGCTGTCCCGAGGCTGTGTAGCAAGGAGACAGCATATAAAAACTTTGGATAGATAGATACAAAGACAGACAGACAGACATTCAGGGCACTTTTGGTTGTCCTTTTCCTACATTTTAAGAGCATGGACTGGACGACACTGGTGCAGTTCTTAGCAAAATTGGGAGGATTGGCAAGATTTTCTCTCGAGTCTTTTCTGATAGCCCATGAAGTTGCCCCATGGATTCAGATGTCACAGGAAGCCCCCATGTGTATCAGCAACAATCTAGCAATAAGCCATGGGTTCATGAAAAATAAGCCTCCCTACAGAAACTGTGGAGGTTTCACACAACATGACAACCCACCCTGGCTGATTAACCTTGATGAGTTGTGTTGGGCAAACCAGGTAAACATCTACCAAGTTCAACTCATTGTCTCTACGTTTCTGGAATGGCTTGATGAAATATTTGACAACAGTCTCTGGAGAAACCTGCTTTTCGGTATCTGCCTGACAGCACGATTATTCCCTTTAGTTCAAAGTTTATGTAGTCAGACAGTTGTAGCCAAAGATGCATTGTCTACAGTGGTACCTTGGCTCACAAACGCCTCAGTTCACAACCAAATCGGGTTGCAAACAAAAATTTCATAAAAATTTTGACTCAGCTAGCAAACTCCTCATTGGGTGGCGACCGTGATCGTGACCATCTTCCCACCCCACCCCCGAGTGGGGAGATGGCCACGATTGTGCTGGGGGTGTGGGGGGAGATGGCCGAGATTGCACCCGTCTTTCCTGCATGAGCGCAACTGCGATCTCGGCCATCTCCCCCCCAGCATGATCGTGCCCATCTCCCCCCCTGAGTGCGCCCATGTTCGCACCCGTCTCTCCCCCCCCCCAGTGCGCCTGTGTTCACGCCCGTCTCCCCCACAGCATGCCTGGATAACGGGTGCAATCGCGGTCATGCTGCGGGGGCGGGGAGATGGCCGTGGTCTTTGTTGTTCTTTGTCACTTTGCTTCACATTTTTCTGATTAAAAAAAATAGTTACAGAACGGATTAACCTTATTTACATTGAACCTTATGGGGAAATTTAACGGGTCACGACTAATTTGGGTCATGACCAGAGTCCTGGAATGGATTATGTTCGTGAGCAAAGGTACCACTGTACTCGCAAGCAGGGAGGTGTGGGCGGACTCAAGGTAACCCTCAAGTTATCAGAATTGTAAAAACACTATAATACAGGGAGGTAAAGACCCACAGTAGTTCCAGAGGACTCAGTAGTCTGTGAATGCTGCCTGAGAAGAAAAAAACTCAGCATGGAAGAGGGAGTAAAGTAGAGTGACTGGGAAGAGGAAGATACATTTGGAAAAAAAAAAGATTGAGAGAACCAACCCACTGTCTTGCTATATCACTTCCCACTTTGTGCTAAGAATATCTTTAAATGAGATCTGTCCACAGAAATCAGTAGCTTTTATAAGAAGCTAAGATTTTAATGTAACCAAAACCTCAAAATGGAGTGGGAACCCACAGAAACAGCCTGATGTGGATTGAGCATGTTCAGTAGGCAAGGAATACTGACAACTGTTGGTGAGAAGAAATGGAACACATTGGCTGGAATCCGGAACAGAAGTGCTCAATGCTGCAGAATTTTGTTGCAGTGTCTCACATGGGGGATCTTATTCTTGCATTTGTTATTTATTCAGTGTTTCTCTATTGTAATGAGTAGTATTTGAAATAGATACATGCTGCCATTTAGCTTTTGGAGTGATACTTACTGCATTTATGTGCCGAACACAAATTATTGTCTGAAGTTAGTATAAAATAGGTTAATAATTAAAAGTTCTTCTGTGGAAGTGATAGTGTTCAGAACTACTTCCTTGTCCAAAAGCTCCTTCATTGGACAAAGAGCACAAAATGTTTAAAACTGTTATTTACCCATCTTTGCTACTTGATAATAGTATAAACCACCGTACAGCTTCATAGATTGTGTCGCATTTAATAGGAGCATAAACGCACAAAGCAGACATGTATGTAAGAACCATATATCTGAAACTTAAAGAATGCATATGTTCTTAATGTATTCCAAAGAATAAGCTAAAATATATACACAACTTCCTTTTTATTGAGAGCACTGAATTTCTTTAGGTATGCCCTCACATTCAGAAATATTCAGTTGTGTCACTGAAAGAATTAAGTAAGTTCCTATCCTTGGGTGTTCAGGAAACTGACAACTATGTTAGTTGAATGCTATGTTATACTACTTTTGTAGTTTGAAACCATTTAATGTTCAAACTAGAAGACAATTTGATGTTCTGCATTATTTTGACATAATCTTCTAATGAGCCAGGTAAACTGTACAATCAGATAATTTTTTTGGAAGAGCATTGAATATTAGTAGAGCTTGAGATGGTTACAGGTGTGATACATGCCAGAACACAGTGGTAATATCTTCTTTCTCCCCTCCTTATATGTTTAGCAACTATGTGAAGGAATATTACATCTACTGGACAAAGATTTAAAAACATCATGTAGAGTTGCTTGTCTGGAAGCTCTTCGCATTCTCTCAAGAGACAAGAAAGTCTTAGTTCCGGTAACAACAAAGAAAAACATGCAAATCTTGATGAAGCAGGCAAAGCTGGACACAGTGGAGGAGCCTTTGGAGGATGTGACGGACTTCCCTGTCATAGTGGAAGCTTTAAAATGCCTCTGTAACATTGTGTTTAATAGCCCAGCCGCACAGAAACTCAGTCTGGAGCTGAACCTGGCAGCTATGCTTTGCAATCTGCTGAAAAAGTGCAAGGATCAACAACTTGTCGAAGACATTAAATGCTTTGATTTACGCCTCCTCTTCCTCCTCTCCCTTCTGCATACAGATATCAGGTCACAGTTGCGTAATGATCTCCAGGGATTGCCACTGTTGACGCAGGCCTTGGAGAGTGCATTTAGCATAAGGTGGACAGATAAATACATCACAGCTGAAAACCAAGAAATGTCACCTTTATCACTGCAAGAGACGGATTGCGCCATAGAAGCACTGAAAGCTCTCTTTAATGTTACTCTTGACAGCTGGAATGTACACAGTGAGGTAGGGGTTGAGCTGAAATATTCTGTTCAGTTCCATTTTTCTGTTAGAGGTTTAGAGTTGGCCATATTTCTTCATATCACAGCTAGAACACAAAGTTTGGTTGGAAGTTTTGTGCTTGAGTGTTATTTCCCAGGCACAACGCTGCATGAATTCCAAAAGAAGCATAATTTGTGTATCTGAGGTTGAACTTAGAGGAGTGTTTCAAGGCTGTAGTGAGCTACCCAGCTTATATAGTTACACACTAGTACAGGGCAGTAGGTACTACACTTAGCTACATAATGGTGCTTTTGTTGTATGGAAGAATCATAGTAAATCTGAAATTTGGAGATTGATCTGCTGGCTGGGAAAGACTTTGTTTTAAGCAGTGGTTTGGACTCTTCCATAACCACCGCCACCAATCTAAAAATGTGTAAGGTCTATACTTGTCGCTTTGCATGATATGCCTGTGCCACTGTTTGGTTACGGTTAATTACATGCCTGTGAAGCACAGCATAATAATGTTTCATGGGAGAGAGACAGAACATTTATAACTTTTTACCCTCCAAAGAAAACATTGCAAACATACTTTTTGGCTACAGTCACAACTGCATCCTCAAATATATTGTGAGTGCTAAGTATTTTGTATTGGTAGGTGTGGGGTCACCAAAGTGAACAGGAGTAATTTACTCTCCACTGTGTTGAAATCCAAACAGTGCAAAAGAACCAGTAACTGCTATTTCAGAGTGTAAGTGAAAATATTTCTTATGTAATTGTTTCATATCAAATCATGATTGTATGTGAACATTTCCAGTAAGTATTCCTCATGACTTCTTATTAAAGAACCTTAATTTATATCTTTAGTGATATAAAGAGAAGACTAATTTATAGCTGGTAATAACTAGGCAGTAGATAAGGCTGTTAAAAGTATCCAATTTTTTTTAAAAAAAACCTTTATACATATTGTGTTTACCCAAATTGCAAGGTATTATCTAAATTTAATGCTATTTATGTGAGACTGCAATTTCAGAAGAGTCATCCACACTGTGAAGTAACCATTTCTCCTACTTATGGAAATTGATATTCCAAGATATGCAGTCTCTCACCTACAGTCAGTGGCTCTCTACAGTCAGAAGTAGTGGAATCTTGGTGGACTATCTTTCACTATCGATGTGCAGCAAATTATTTTTCAGTGACAAGTGACAGGCTTCATCCCTGCACCTGTGGCCCAGAGGAGCCAAAGGACAATCGCAGCCCCCAAACTCATGGCAACATATGATGTCCTAGGACCTCTAGGAGAAGTGAAATAAGAAAAAACTAGTGACTACAAGTTCAGCTGTCTAGGCAGGGAGCGAGCGAAAGGGGAGAAAGCGAAAGAGACCAGTTTGGCCCTAAGCCAGCAGCTCTACTTTGAAAGCAGCTAGGAGTTTAATGCAAAGAAGCAAGGTTCCCAGAGCACAGCCTGGCCTAAGTTGCTTGGATGAGTTTCAGTTGCTTCAGCTCAGGGATATTGACAAGGTGTTTGGACAGGTTTGTGCAACCAGGCCCACAATACAGTCTTGCCTTCCTGGCTTAGAAAAGTGAGGAGGGAGGGAACAGCTGGTTGGACCAGGAAGGTGATCAGTGCTTCCTTACATGACAAAGTGGTCCCCACGTTGCCCAGAGTGGCAGTAGTGATGCTACTCCTGAAGAAACCCTCTCTGGATTGGAAGACATTAATAATTTTAGGCCAGTCCTTGAGCAGGTGGTAAGTGAGCACTCTTGAATGAAACTGATTTTCTGTATCTATTTCAGTTAGGGTTCAGGGCAAGTTTTGGCACAGAAACAGATGTGATCACTCTGTGTAATGTCCTGTGCTGGAAGAAGGACAGGGTGAGTGTGGCCCTGTTGAGGCTCTTGCATCTCTCAATGCCCTAATCTCACATAAGCAATGATAGAAACCTTATTTCCATTACTGATAGGTTGCCACTCAAGCTCCACACCAATAAGAATGTCAGAATATGACAGTCTTCTTATTTTAACTTCATTCCTAGTGACTTGATAAATAGGTACCTTTTCATCCTTTGTTTATTCAGAATGACTCTCATGAATTTCGTTATATGACTGCTATTCTGCGTCACTGCTTATTAACACTGGGCCCTACTGAAGACAAAACAGAAGAGTTGCACAGGTTGGTGAAAACATGGATCCTTTTTTAATGAATAATGTTTTAGTTTGGTCTAGTACTTGTCTTATAGATCTAATACGTATTTACTTTTAGTATTCTGTAATTCCCCAGTGCTTTTAATTAAATGGACCATCAATAAAGTGGTTTTGATTTAATGGCTTTGATGTTGATATGTTATGCCGGCTGTTAACGGATTGTATAAGTATTGTGGATGTTTGTTCACACATTGCTTCTAACAATAACAATATAGTTGAAGACATCCATTGTATTGCTGTTTTGTATAAACATAATAACTAAAAGATTACGTTTCTGTAATGGTATGGTTTTCGGCAAACAATTGGAATAGTAAAGGTTTAGGTCAGCCTTCCTCAACTTTGTGCTTTCCACCTACTTTGGAGTATAATTCCCAGGATCCCCCCAGCAATCTATGGGGAAGACTGGTTTAGGTAATGATCTAGTACACTTACCATTTTAAGCTTGGTTGCCAAACACTTCTAATTTTTATTTATACATCTGTATAAAATGTTGTGTACTTGTAATTTTTTATACAAGTAAACTGCAGGGCTAGTATGCAATTAAGGATGGATATTTTAAAAGTCAGGTAGATAGTCTCAAATATAATACTATTCCATGGAGGTGGCTCAGCTGTTCAGTAATCAAGTGATGTACATGAATGTGTGTACAAAGAACTGGAGTAGAGTCCCTGTAATGGGGAAAGGAATATCTAGGGCTGATATATTTATTATAAACTATTTTTTGTCTTTACTAGAGGCTGGAATTAATATTCACCCCTTCTTTGTGTCAGAGTAGTGAGTCTAAATCATGGGTTCTCGAACTACGGCCCGCAGGCTGGATCCGGCCCACCATGCCCATTTATCCGGCCTGCCATAGAGGATTTGGACATGCTGTGCGCGTGGCGAGGCAAGGAGGGGGCATGCTTGTGCAGAGATTGTTTTGGACTCGCTCAGAGAAAACAACCTCCTTGCGAGCAAGCCAGTGTTTGCCCCCCGCCCTGCCCCCCCACCTGCATCACCTTGGTGGCCCGCACCCATCGCCAGCACCTTTCAACTGCCCCCCTGTTTAAAAAGTTTGAGGACCCCTGGTCTAAATCATACGCAACCTAACTACAACAGCTCTAACTAAACATCTAACAGAAACATCAAGACATGAGATAGAATGCCTTGATGTTTTCATGAGCTCAGAAACTATGCACTTTGTAATAGTCGAACAGTCCAAACATCTCATAATAAATACAAAGATTAAACAGAAGAATCTAAATAACAGGAGAAAGAGTCCACCCTAATGGTCTTTAAACACCTTCAACAACAGGAATAACCTTTTTAGTTGCAGTCCATAAGGATCCAGCCAGGCCAGGTAGAAGCAAGCCAAAAGACAAGAACCAGCTCTTACAGCACTCAGAAGAGCTGAGAAGTCTTGGAGACTATCTAAAGCTGACAGGTCAGAGCATCTGCTATGCCTTTGTGACTGGTCTTAAGATCTCTTTTTGTACAATGAAGAGATCATCCTTCTGCTTCTGTTGCCTTGACAAAAAGTTAAAGAGCGTTCTTGAGAGAACTTTCATTAAAGATAACCAGGTTTACGCAGAAGGAGGGAATATGATGCGTAAGGCACAGTTCAGTATGATTTACTGGACTGGGACTCGTACCTACTGTCATTTTTGTTGCGGCATCTGTGTATCAGTATCCATGGATGTTCTACTGTTTTCCTATCAAGCTCTGAATATGAACTCAACAGTGTGGAAAGGGGTGTGTTGAGGATGGTCTGTGCTAATTCTGAGGTAGAAAGGCCAAGCCATAGCTTATTTATAGAAGTTTGATGTTTGGCATGTGCTCACAAGCAGTGGGACAGATGGTTGGTTGGTTGATTGGTTTTTTCCAAAATAGACTTACATAATGTTTAGTTTGTCAGTTGTTTCATTGATTGCCAGTTGGGTACTTGTAATATGGAATAACAGTTTTAGTCACATAGACTCTGTATATATATTCCAGTGCACAAACAGATCCAGGACTTAGGTCCATCATTCTGCTATTGACAGCCATCCAGCTTTAAGGCAGTGGTGAAACTGGAGCTAAGCACAGCAGAGGATACCATACCACATGCTTACTGTCTAACACATCTGATAAGGGAGTGGCCCTTAACTGCTGTAATTTTTCAACATTCTGGAGCTTGAGTGATGAAGTTTGAAAGCCTTTAAGACAACATTTTCATAGAATTATAGAATAGTAAAGTTGGAAGAGGCCATGAAGGCCATTGGGTTCAATCCCCTGCTGTTGCAGGTCACCAGTTTATACCATCCCACTCAGATGACTGTCCAGTTCCTTTATTGAAAGTCTCTAGTGTGGGAGAACCTACGACCTCTTCAGTCAACTGATTCCACTGTTGTTGTATTGCTCTGACAGTGAGGAAACTTTTCCTGATATCTAGCCTGAACCTGGGCTGTTGCAACTTAAGTTGATTATTCTGTGTATGAGCAGGAAAAGATCTTGACCTTCCTCTTTTGCACTGTTCAGGTACTTATAGTGATATCATGTCCCCTGTTAGCCTTCTCTTCTTAAAGCTGAACATACCCAGTTCTCTCAGTCTGTCCTCACAGGGCAGTGTTTCCAAACCCTGAATCATTTATGTTGCCCTCCTCTGGGCCCTTTCTAATTTTTTGGCATTTTTCTTAAACCTTGGTGCCCCAAACTGGATACAGTATTCTAGTGAAGAGTACAGGAGAACTATTACTTCTCTTGATTTGGAAGTAATATGTCTATTAATACATCCCAAAGTAGCATTTGCCCTTTTTGCAGCTGCATCACATTGTTGGCTCATATTTAGCTTGTTGTCCACAATAATTCCAAGGTCTTTTTCCTTTTCAATTCTCTTGAACTGTATTCCCCTCTTGTATAGATGTATTTTGGAGCATAGGCAAATTTTGAAAGCCCTTAAAACAACACACTGAAAACAAAAGGATTTTGTTCACTGAATACTAAAAATGCTACCCTCAAAAATAGCAGATGGTAAATGCCTAAAATGGTGAAGAACTACTGTTAGTCAGAATAAGCAGTACCAGGCTAGGTAAACAGACTTACCTGGGCATTGGGCAGCTTCCTATGTTATAAAAGCATTATGTATTTGTCCGGTGCATTTTTGTTGATTGAGTTAAAGGCTGCTTAGACTCTGTTTGAAAGAGGGCCATGGACTCAAATATGTATATTCATAGTTCATGCTGATGACATGTTAAACATTTCTTTTAAGTAGGTAATTTTAAGACTTCACATAAAAAAACTTTAAACACTTATATTTAATCATTTTTATTGTCCCTGTTTTAATGTAGGATATACATGACAAACAGAAGTTATTGTGGCTGATTCCATCTTGTCACTTAAAATGCTTGAATACCCTCAATTTAAATTATTAAAGCGAGTGCTATGTTTGCCCACTAACAAGACTTTAATCAAGACATTCAGTAGTGCTAAATGGCAGTTTGTGTTCACATTTGCATATCAGGAGGGGGCTGAGAGCATGAGTAGGTGGATGTCATGTCTTGGTGATTAATGATCTCTAGGAAGCTGAGAGAGAGAATAAAATACGCAGTATTTCTACCCCCTGGAGGAAGAATGCAAACACTATTGTGTGGATCTGTGCATAGTCCCTGACTTCCCGGTAGCTGGAGAATTTCATACACTCCTTTACCACAAATAAAACTGTCAGGCAGAGTGACAAAGATCAGAAAGCCAGGCTTTGGTTATTGTAAAGAATCGTTTGAGCACAGTGATCCAGAAAATTAATTTTGTAGGTGTTTGGGAACACCATTGCTTAATAAGAAACCAGTAAAAAGGCGCTTTCTGTGGAAATGATCCAAGCCAGCAATTTGTTATTGCTGAATTGAATTTTGCCGTTCCTTGCTGATTTTGTTTGCTGAGAACAGGGTATCTTCTGAAATGTGGCTAAAGCAGGACCCAATAGCAATGTGTTATGCATTTCAGCTTCTGTTGATGCTGCTTCTGGCTATGGAAAAGGAGTATTAGCTGTACAGTGCCTGCAGGGCAGGGAGATGTAAAGATAATTACTCACTAAATTATTCAGAATAAGTGAGATAAGAGGAAAAATTACTTGGGTTCCTAATTATTAGCTAACACCCCTAGCCTAACTGCACTACTTGGAATCTGTAGAATTCACTTTCAAGTAAATTTGCTCAGAATCAGAGTTAATATTTGTTTACTCTCCATTTGTGATCAGGTTGTGGCCTAAATTATTTGGTGGGTGTGGGATACACAACTTATTTGTTTCCCTGCTCTGGTTCCCCCTCTCCAAGTATAAACATTTTCTTAGTTTGTATTTTCCTCTTGCATACTTTCTTAGCTATTCTTTTCTGTTTAAACCTTTTATTTTTTCCAATAAATCCCAATTAAAAAGATTAACACATGTAATGAATGATCCAAAGCACATACTATAGCTTGTATGGTTCAGAGATGAAAAAAGTCAGCTCTATACTTTTAGGTTTACTAATGGTGAAGTTTGCAAAACTCTGATTTTTGCAAGCCTAGTCTTAAAATTAGCAAACCAAAAAGAGGTAGGGGTGTGTGTCTGTGCACAGGGAGTGGGGGAGAGAGCGGGCTTGTAAAAATGGCTTCAGAAAGTCCCTTGTAATGCTTTGTAAGCTAATGACCTTCAGAAATGGGAAGGCAAAGTACTCAATGGGGAATGCAACTAGTTCAGACTAGATTATTCCAATTAACCCTATATATTCTGGTTCCCTGTACATTTTCTAGTCTTGGTCTCTGGTGTTATATTAGTCTAATAACTGTAAATTAATCCTAAATGCCTCTCCCAGCTTAACATTTTTCAGATCCTAGAATATTATTTCTGAATATTCTTTTTAACATATGACTTTTTCTTCTCCTAGTCAGTATGAACCATAAAGTAGAGGGCTATTAAATAGACTTTAAATAGGCTGGCACAAATATACAAACTAAATTCTTCCCTCACATAAAAACCACCCTTACAGATCATCACATTAAAAAAAATCACCCTTAAGCACCAAAAGGGGTCTTTTTAACAAATAAGGAATTGAAAATTGGTCTTCTCGGATGTATGAAAACATGTCTGTTATATTCCTTACTGCGGAACAGAACTTTATGTTGATGCTCACTGAAGCAGACTCCCCATCTCCTAACATTGCTCTCACTCTCTAAATGGGTCACAGAGTTAGGTATATAAAGTGCCTACTCCATGCATTCAGATATAAAACTTCCCACCAAAGTTATTTCCCCTAATCTTAGTGTTTCTCCCTCTTGCTCTTGGCTGCTTGAGGTTACCACCTTTGGGAATTTTAAGAAAAGGTACCTGGGTAAGGCACATGATCTTAAGTGGATGAGTGTGAGGCCACAGAAGAGACTTCATTAATTAAAGCTATACAGCTATTTCATTACCACCTTGCAGCACTAGTAACTGATGTTCTTGGAGGCCCTGCACAGACTGCCATACAATCCATACTACTAGTGTGACATAGCCACAGGAACAAATCCATCAAGCAGACTAAACTCTGAACTTCAGGCTCAGTTGCATACATACATTGTATAGTCAAGGAATTATGCCTGTTGGAAAGTTTCATAGGCAAAAATGTCTTGTTTAGCTGCTGTAGCTACTTGAACAGTGAAAGGAGACAATGGAGCAGAAAGTCAGGGTTGGTATAGACTAGGGTTGTTCATGCAACATGACATTTAACCATAATTTACTTAATCTTCACATAATTTGTGTTTGCCCAGTTTGTACAACACAACAAAACAAAATACAACCACCCCCAAGCAGGGGTTGTATATTCAACGTGGCACCTACTGGAACCACACTTCATTAAAACATAGACCATACAACAGTGGTTTTAAACAGAGTCTCAGGTGTTTGAGGAGGAAGCCTATCAAAAGTATTCTCAAAACCAGTTTGTAATCTTCTGAGGGGCTTAATAAATTCCATAGGTCATGAATAGTTTTTTCTGACTCCAGAAAAACTATTCTGACTCCTTCCCCCGTGTGGGTCCCCAGGGCTGCATATGGTAGCTACTTCTGTAGTCTCCCCGCACCTTCCTCAAGGGTTGGGCTGGCTCCTGCTGCAGAGCAAAGGAGTGGCTTTTCCTTGCTACCAGCTTACTGTTTGTGCTGTATCGCCACCACACTATAGTACATAGGATCAGGCTCTTAGCTGGGGCTGTGTATATACTATAGAGTGCCAAGAAAACACCTTAAATTCTGTAAGGTCTGTAAATGTGTTATATTTTTTCCTCTTACTTTACAGATCTTGTTTTGACTTGCTAGTCTTGTGAGAAGAGCAAAACTGATGCATTCTCCCTGACAGTTGAAAAAGCTAATTGACCCATATCTGTGACTTCTGAGATTTCAGCAGGCATTGTCCATACATTTCACTGCTGGCATGAAAAACTTCCCAGGAGGCTGAGTTCTGTGTCCACCACATCATCCTATATCTTTTCTGTGCTTCCACAGAATTGTAGTATGAACATAACCCTGTTTTTAGTGCTACAGCTGATGTTACATATCCTTGATCTCATATTCTTCTAAAAGTTAGAGATAGTATAGCAAATTACAAATACTTTTAAATTTGACCTCATTTTATTGGCTAAATTACTAAATGAAGTGTACCAGCTGTTATGTTAGTGCAGTATTATAATCTTTGGTCATATACTAGGATTGCAGGAAGTTAACTCCAGTGTTCACTTTTTCATTACAAATGTTTAGGATTTGGATGTAATATTAGGTACAATTTCAGAAAACATTGTCTTGAGAGTGAATGTCCTTAAAATCTCTTTCAGTAATGCAGTCAACCTTTTAAGCAATGTTCCAGTTTCTTGTTTGGATGTCCTTATCAGTCCATCTGATCAAGAGGACACAGAGGAAACAGATATAAAATACAATGGCATGAATATGGATGCAATTCAGGTGATTTTGAAGTTCATGGAGAAGAGAATTGACAAGGTATGGGTGTCAAATTAGGGTGATGTTAAGTATTATATTTAGTTAATACTTTTGGGTCATGTTTTCTATTCTAGTGTAGCCATGGTGGAAAAGCAGCTTCTGGGGTGTGCTTTCGATAAGAAAAATGAGTGGAAGGGGAAACAATTAAACTGCTTTTCACTGGCCCAATCAGATAAGTCTATGGTGTTGGAAACCTGTTGCACACATTTTCAAAATACCGAGTTTGGTACTAAAAATTGAAATGGCACTTAATAACAAAATGGTCCTGATTAAAAAACATTTTATCTGTTTTTATAACTTTTCCAAGGTAGGAAGACAGCTGTAGGTAGTTTGTTTCTACTTACAGGCTTTTCTTTTTCTTTCAGTCTTTGCCTATAAACCCAAAGAGAAATGTGCCAAAAGTAATTAATGTCATTAAACTTTTGAGATGATATTATATATGAGAAATTTATACAAATTTACTGTCATGTTTTTCAAGTTCCTCTGTGCACAGTAAAATATGAAATAGCTGGTACATCTTCTGTGTGCTGCTGCCCTTGAAGACTGCTTGCAGTTGGCATCATTGACACCATGGCCAAAATACCATGGCCAAAAATGCACAATAGAATGTGCATCATCATCATCCAGGAATATTTTAAAGACATCCACATCTGAAAACATGTAGTAAACACATGTCTCAGAACATTAATATAGCTGCTAAAGGCAGGCATCCTATGAGTTTTGAGCTGTAGAAATACCCTTCTAACTGTTACAGACAAGAATTGGTTGACCCACTGTTTTGAGAAACATTAGGGTGAAATAAATATGCGTGAAAATGCTAGTGTCCCTATAAATTGTGTGTGCTATTTATTTTTCTAGGGGAGTAGCTATCGGGAAGGTCTTACCCCTGTTCTCAGCTTACTAACGAGATGCTGCAGATCCCACCGGAACATAAGGAAATTTATCAAAGCTCAGGTGAGACACAAGGATCAAAAAACTAGGGTAATCTAAAATGGTTAGGGAACAATTATTAATTACCAGTCACATATTAATTTTTGCAGATTGCATAATTAATATGCAATATCAAGTTGCATAATCCTGGGATCACTACTGAGAAGTCCACACTGCTTCTTCCTGAAGACCTAAATTCAGGTTTCTTGGAGGAAGGGTGGGGGCTCGCAAAAATAAGTCAAGGCTATTTAACTTTGTAATGTGTTAGCAATGTTAAGTTACCTGAAGTTTATGTTGACTTCTTTTTCTAATGTGGAATTTGAATTTAAATAGGGGGAGGGAGAATTTAAATAAGGATTTAAGAATACAGGCAGGACACTTTAACAATAAAATGTATTCTTATCTTCCAGCTCCACTCAGGAAGCACACTTCCACTTTTAAGTAACACTGTAAGCTTTCAACACATGTCTTCAAGGGTTAGTCCCATGTAGAAAACCTTGCAGTGACAAGAAACGAGAGTATGATGATTTGTCAAGTCCTGGCTTTCCATAAAAGATTGTTGTAATTGGGGGGAAAGCAGTGCTGGTTTAAAAAAAAAAACCCTTCTAGTGACAGCTGTCTTCTCGTCCAGATGCAAAACAGTGCTGGGTTGATAACCCTGTTATAAATCAGAATAAACCCATCCATTCCCACAATAATAATCTCATATAATTTGCCAGATAAAGTTTGTTTGTCCCTGTCCATTTCACCACAGTCTCCAAATTGGAGTTCAGGGTTTTTACTGGATCAGCAAAAAAAAGAGAAAGAAACGTAATTGAATGTTTATATTCCAATACTGTAAAGATATCAATATGTGAATAAAGTCCTTTTGATTTCACTGGGTCTACTATAAGTTTGACTAAAACTGGATCCATTAATATCCATTATTTCTTTATCTTCTAGGCAGGGATTTAGGTTCTTTTCTGTAAAGTATCAGAAAGGTTTCTTGATTGTAGGACAGGTTGGAAGAATAATCACTTTTGCAATTGGATTTAATAGGAATTATAGCACATGCATGCTTTTATAAATGCATGTTATAAACTGTTTTAGAGTTGTTGGAACAGCTCCTAATGCTGATACAAAAAGGGCACTATATGAATTGTCATAGATTTCCAGGCATACTTTGTTTCTAATACTAAGTTTGATGTTTGTTTTTAATTCTGTACATATTTCATGGGAGAGTTTTCCAAGTCTGTTACAATAAGATGTTTTAGGTGTTCTTTTTGTTTACCAGAATTGGGTTTTGTCTCTTTTTGTCTATTTTTATGAGTCATAATTGGTTTATCTTACTACAAGATGTCACATTTTATTCTCAAAAAGGGGCCCCAGACCTTATTTTCTGGGAAGAAGGTAGTTTTAAATGGATTCGTTGATTGTGCATATGTATGCCCTGTTGTGATGCATAACTGCTATCGATACTGTGAACATAATCTGTGTGGCAAGGTATTCTGTATTGGCTTAGAAAGGGCCAATAGTTATTCTGTTCCTTATTTGAGCATCTCTGTACATGGTACCTTAAAGAGCAAAGAATTGTAGAATAGAATTGCAAGGGGCTTTAAGGCCATCAAGTCCAACTCCTTGCCAAGTTAAAGCATGTCTAACTGCCTCTTGGGGATGCAGGTGGCGCAGTGGTTTAAACTGGTGGGCTGGTTGACCAAAAGGTCGCCAGTTCGAATGTGCACAATGGGGTGAGTTCCTGTTGCTCCATCCCTGCTCCTGCCAACCTTGCAGTTCGAAAGCATGCAAATGCAAGTAGATAAAAAGGAAGGTAAACAGCGTTCCATGCACTTCGGTTTTTAGTCATGCAGGCCACATGACCACGGAGACTATCTACGGACAAATGCTGGCTCCCTTGGCTAGGAAACGGAGATGAGCACTGCCCCCTAGAGTCAGACATGACTTAACGTCAAGGGGAAACCTTTACCTTTAACTGCCTCTTGAATGCCTCCAGCGTGGGAGAACCTACAACTTCTCTAGATAATTGGTTCCATTGTCATACTGCTCCTAATGCCCAGGAATGTTTTCCTGATGTCTAGCCAGAATCCTGCACCTTGAACCCATTATTCCATGTCTTCCTCTCTGTAATATATTGGGAAGAGATCCTAACCTTTCTCTTTGTGTCAGCCTTTCAAGTTCTTGTAGAGTGCTATCTTGTTTCTTCTCAGTCTTCTCTTCTTGAGGCTAAACATGCCCTGTTCTTTCCCTCTCTCCTCATAGGGTTTCTTTCCAGTCCCTGGAGCATCCTTGTTGCCCTCCTCTGTACCCTTTTCAGCTTGTCTGCATCTTTCTTAAACTGTGGAGTACTGGACACAGTACTCCAGATAAGGCCTAACCAGTGCTAAGTAAAGGAGAACTAGTATTTCATGTGATTTGGAAGTGATACTTTTATAAATGTGGCCTTAAAAAGGTCAAAAGCCTTTGACTTTTTGCAGGCACATCTCATTGTTGGCTCACTTTCTGCTTGTGATTTACAACAATTCCAAGATCCTCACTTGTAGTTTTGTTGAACCAACTATTCCCTATCTTGTAATGACGCATCCCCCCCACACCAATTTTCTAAGTATAAACCTTGGCATTTGTCCCTATTGAATTTCATTATGTTGCTTTCAGCCTAGTGCTCTAGCCTATCAAGCTTACTTTGATTTTTTTTTTTTCCCCTGCTAAGGTATTAGCTATCCCAGCCAATTTTGAGTCACCTGCAAATTTGCTAATTTTGTGTCACCTGTAAATCTGCAAATTTTGAATGCAAAAAAGCATTCATTGAAAGAAAGGAGATTAAATTGCACAGGAGGAGTAGTAAGGGCTAATTAATTTTAAAGAGCAGCAACATGTAGCTGCTCCATGCTTGGTTGCTCAGCCTGAAAGACGGTCGAAGCAGAACTATTCTAACATTTTAAGTAGGAAAGCAAGTTTGGCAACACTTTTCATTGGGATTAATGGCATTTTTTCCTGTTTTAAGGTGTTGCCTCCCCTGAGAGATGTATCTAATCGTCCAGAAGTTGGCACAACACTAAGAAACAAATTAGTGCGCCTTATGACTCACGTTGACCTAGGAGTGAAGCAAATTGCTGCAGAGTTTCTTTTTGTTCTTTGTAAAGAGAGAGGTACTGGCTGGATCTTACCAATGAATAAGGGTGGTTACAAGTTTGTAAATTGTCACTTACATGTTTGATTCTGGCTGAGGTGAAAATTGCCTCCAGGAAAGCTTTTATAAACTGGAAGAGAATGTATTATTTGACAATATGCCAGAAACTGCCTGCACAGATTGTTTGGGTAGGTGGGATAATAAACCTTATGTATTTAGTTGAAAATCTGTGCCATAGGCATATTTAACTATATACTTCACAATGCATATTTATGCCTTTTGTATTTTGGGGGCTGCTGGATGATGTAATGCAATGAGCAAACCAGAAACTTATTAAAGCAATGTCAGTCCAGTCCCTCCGTTCATAATATAGTCATAATTCTGCAAGGTATCTCAATTATGAGTAACTTAAGGCCTGGAAAGCCCAGAATATTGCCTGACCAGACACATGCATGTATACAGCCATGTTTTTATCTCTCTTTTCTCCATGTAACAGTGCAGCTGCTAACACTGTGTACTTTCCCACAAACATCCCGAGGCATTATCTTTCGTAGGCATTTTATGTGAGGAATTATAGAAAATGTAGTTTGTTGACACAAGACAGCAGCAAATCTTAACTCGAGATTTAGAATTTGTTTATATCTGGCAGACAATCCTTTACTTAGACCCTCTGTACTCCTCGTCTTACTCATAGAACGCTTCTGTTTAACCTCTGCAGAAAAGAGGGAACAGTCGTATCTTAATTTGTCTTTTTCCTAAAAAGTTGTTCTTTGTTAGATCAAATTGGATTTTCCAGACAACAGGGCCTAGCACAGGAGTAGGCAACATGGTGCCTGTGGGCACCAGTTTTCCCTTGACACCTTCTTTGGTGCCCAAGTGAGACATCTTATTCCTCTGACTTTTTATTTTAAAATATTTTTATATTTTTTCATACTCTCACATGGAAGTGCTTCAAAAATGAAATGGAAGCCTGTAGCTGTTACATCTTAATTTCCCAGAAATCTATCTGGGGCAGTTATTCGTCTTTTGAGGTTAGCCATACAACCCCATGTCAGCCATTCTCTGGCTGCTACCAGGACATTTCACAAAAAGTTGCCTACGTTTGACTTACTGTTGAGAATATTTAAATCATATTTCATGATGAGCCTCTGAAACTTAAATGCATTGCTTAATATATTGTTGTTCTGTCTTGGCCCTACCTTGGCCTTTTGCAGTTGACAGCTTACTGAAGTACACTGGCTACGGCAATGCAGCAGGGCTGCTGGCAGCAAGAGGCCTGTTAGCAGGAGGAAGAGGGGAAAACTGGTACTCAGATGATGAAGATACAGACACTGAAGAATACAAATCAGCAAAGCCAAAGTACAGCACTGCCTCATTTTTCCCTTCTACCCAGTTAATAAAGCTTTTACTATTTCTGACTCTCTTTTTCATATACACGTCCTCTAACGTTTAGAGCTGCTTCTCTTCATTTATGGCTGAGTCATGGGCTTTCACCTTGACCAGCATCAGGTTCAAGCTGGCCCGATTGTCTTAGCTGCCCAGAAGACTCTGAAAATTTTCTTTCTGATTATTTTTGTTCAGCCTTGTTTCCCAGTGTTCGTTTTTAATAGGGAAGCCATGACATTTAAACTGATGTATACTTTTGCATGAAAGAGAACCTCTCATATTTTGGAGGTCTGTTAAAATTCTAGATGTTTTGTATATTAGCAGTCTAAGGTTGCATATTCTGATTCAAAAGGAATTAGAGTGGTGAAGGAGGGGTTTTTGGTTTTGTTTTGTTTTTGGAATGGATAATTTGACCTAAGAAATGCCTAGAAAATTTCTTAAACTTTTTTCCACCATTCTCTCTCCCCCGCCCCCTTTCCTTAAAGCATTAACCTTATTACAGGTCATTTAGAAGAGCCAATGCCCAACCCTATGGATGAAATGACAGAAGAACAAAAAGAATATGAAGCGATGAAACTTGTCAATATGTTTGATAAGCTTTCTAGGTAATGTAGCCATCCTATTCTTTGGCTGAATAGTGTCCTTTACCATATTTGAGTTGTGTACATACATCTGTGCAGCCCTTAATATATATGTATATATAGATATTCCACTGGCCAGGGACTGTTTTCTCAGGGAATGGACATGTTATTGGCAAATACAACCCCACCATTTTACCCAGTGTCAGGTTGCAAGAAGGAGCTTTAGGAAATGTGGATGGTGTGTCCCTTACTCAGTAGTAGACCCTGTCTCTCTCTCTGAGGCTTGAATTGCTGAATCCAGTTATGTTACTGTTTGTGTGTAGTTCCGTTTCTACCGGGAAATAGTATAAACATCTTTTTGAAGACTCCACAATTGCTTTACTTTAAAAAAGAGTCATTTTATATGATTTTTTTAAAAGGTTGATAAATGATATAATGATAACAACACTTTATGCAGGCACTACTACTTTATTCCTAGCGCCTTCTTCCTAATTTCATCTTGTCAACATGGCAACTCAACAAACCCAACGGTATGACAGAAATAGCTAGGGCTGTTTCCTTCTTTAAAAAAAAAAACCAAACATATGTATGCGCATGGGACTTATTCTATGCATTCAGAAATAAAAACCTGATGTTTCCAGATTGTTTAATGCAAAAATATTTCCATTTTATCTGGGGTAAGGGAAAATTGAAAGTGGAAAGTATATTATATTAAAGAGGAGCACATTCTGTGGCTGTTGTATCTCTGTGCTTTTGTATAGATTGGCAATTCTGTGGTCCCCATCTCTAGAATGTGGATGCATGGTTCGTTCGTTCATTCATTCACTTTATATGCTACCCCACTAGTCATAGGCTCTCTGGGCAGCTTCCAATATATTAGGCAAGAAATATGTTGTAGAGAAGTGTCTACAACATGCAAAATTATTGAAAATAGAATGAAAAGCAGCCAACATCTGTTCTCACTCAAGTGGTTGCCCAGGTCTGATTGAAGACTTTAATGTTTGAAGGCAAAAAGAATAGGGACATTGCATATTATAAAGTGATGTGTTACCTGTGTATAGTTTTCTACGTTTTATTGTTATGAATAGATTCTCTGTATTAATCTACAGCATGCAAGTTTTCTTTTGTCCTATATCTCCCTCTTTCTCATACTCCCTCACTCACTCTTTATATCTACTCAGTGGGTTACCCCCACCCTAAATCTACTATTCGTAGGCCAGTCAGCATTTCTAAAATAGTATTCAGGGTTATATTTTTCCTAAACAATAGTATCCATAGTACAAGAATGATAAATAGAAGCTGAAGCCTATTATACAATGTTAGCTCAGCTCTGAAGTTGCAGGTAATTATTTACCCTTCTCTTCTTTTAAGGACCTCAGAGTGATATACACACTCTTTCTTCCATTTCAACCTTCCAGAAAGTCTGTGATGTTGTATTAGGCTAAAAGTGACTGGCCCAAGGAAATTTCATGGCTGAGTGGGGAGTCTTGGGTAAGCCACTGTCTTGCCTTGAGGGCCAGAGCCTCTTTCTTTCTAAGGACCAAGTTCCATTTTGGATAAGCTGCATTCCAGAGGAGGTCAGGACTCAAGGCAAAAGCATGGAGTCAGGGCCAAAAAACCCAGCATTTTGTGTTTTTAAATCTTATTGCCTATAAGGAAACCTACAACTCCCACTGCCCCTAGCTGCTTGGGGATGATGGGAGTTGTAGGCCAACACACCTGGCAAGCACCATGTTGGGGGAAAACTGTAGATGAATGCTAGTTAGCTAATGTTTGAAAATTTGACTCACGTTTGTTTAAGTTTTTATATACTGTCCCATTACTGACATCTTGGGATGGTTGAAATCACTTTCTTGTTAGAACATACATCAGGCACTAATTAATCTGTTTTTCATAATATATCGAATACTGGTACTCACCAAGCTGCCTTGCAGTGCATTATGCTTTGGTTCCGTGAAAAAAGCTAAATTATAGATTACTGGTCTGATTTAATTCTTGTGTGGCTATAAGTTGTTTGTGTTAATTAAAATGCTTTATAAATATTTTTCTGCAGTTAAAAACTGGTGGCATAATTATGAATTAATTGACTAATTTAAAATGTTAGAGGCCTTTTTCCAAGCCAACCCTGTATTAATACCAGGAATCCTTTTTCCAGTGAAACAGGCCCCAATTATCATAGTTTGGGTTTTGTGTACATTGACAAGAAGTCAACAAAACAAGCATGTAACAGAACCTGCCTAAGTAACAGCCCTACTCATTAAAAATACAGAATTAATCATGGTGATGATTGAAGAAAGCGGTTCCTCCATAGCTTTTCCTCTCCTTTTCTTAGGGTGGAACAAAATAGTGTACATAAAAGAACTGGCACTATTATGCAACACTCAATTATAGGGAGGTGAATAGGTCCCCAATACACTATTTTATCAAAGGCGCAGACCAGTGTTTGCAATATGGTTGTTTCTTTACAGACCACCATCATTAGTTCCATGTGTTAATACTGACCTGTTGTACACAGAGCAAGCAAGCAAGAAAGACCCTTCGAAACAAGGGAATGATTTTAGAGTCATTATCAAGCTAAACGGCAAGCGGAAAGCAAAAGCCAAGACTGTATCAGTCAATTTGTAGGGAATAATGGAGGATTTGGAAGAGGAAAAATAATGCATTTTATCAAGGGTTTCATCATGTCAGGTGTTCCATGAAGTATTACTAAGGTATCATGTTTTTCTAATTTGAACAACAAAACAAAAGTGAGTGGGGAGTACCAGGTCACGTATTCACATACCTGTCTCTACATGCAATCAAATTCTGGAAGATACCCCAGAAGTTGCAGTTTTTCATTATGAGAAAGGAATTGAATGGCTAGTTAGCTTAAGGTGATTCCTTTCAATTTTGTTTTTAACACTCACAAGTTGATTCATAGGGTTAGGGCTAAGGTTAGAGTTATGTCTATATGTTATAATCTGCAGCTGTCCTTGATTCTGACATTTATACTACGGTCCTATATGTACCTGCTCACTGAGCAGACATTTATTGAGCTCAGTGGAACTTACTCACAGGTAAGGACAAAATCCAACATCACATGAGTAGACTTAGTCTGTCTTCCCCTGAGCTGCCAGATCTGATTTAGAGGGTTACCTAACCCACCTGCAAGGGGCTACTTTTGGGAGGACAGCTGCTCATAAGAGCCATTCTGTCCAAGGGAGGGACTAAATGGATACTTACTAGTTCCCATATTGTCCATATCTTTAGTGGCAAGGTCTGCTGAAAGGTTCCATCCTTTGTATAATCAAGTTCTGACATTGAGGTGGGCAGTTCTTACACATTTCTAAAGAAATGTCTTAAGATGAGAATTGGAATATGCTGAGGACTTGGGAGAAAGAATTCAAATTTTGCTGTAGTTGGCCTTACAGATTTTGCCATAATCTACATAAAATAAATGAGATTATATTCAGATGTGAGGTAATGAAAGGCTTGCTAATACTATTTGATTGGCTTAATCAATAATTAATCATCTTTATATGAGGCTGTAGCTTGTGGAGTAGATATAATTGGATTAACTGTGAGAGCCTTGGCGCTTTGAAGAGATTAAAATGGCTGTCAATCCTGTAATTAAACAGTCGCAAACAAAAGCAACAGTTTAAAAAGGGGGAGGGAGAGTGGGGAGAAAAGGCCGACTGAATCTAAATGAATCCACAAGTACTTAAGCACCACTAGAGGTTGACTGTGTAGTGCAAATCTCTTTCCTGACTGACTTCTTTCACTCAGTGAAATGAATATGTATACAATTGTGGGTTTGAAACTGGCAGGGTAACTGTTTAGCCAAATGACAGGTGGAACTTCAGCAACCATGTTAGCATCATTCAAGGATCAACAGAGGAAGTATCTTGATTTATGCATTCATTTAAACAGTGAACCTGTTCTTTGTCCTTAACCCATTAGTGGTTGACTTCTTCTCTTTTCCATGTAGTTCTTAATTGGCTTAGTGGATGTGGCCAGCCTGAATTAAGTCTTTATCAGTGAGGCACTCCTGCCTCCCTCTACCCACTGATCTCTTTTGTCTATAGGCCTGTTTGTTCCTGCATATTCAGAATCTGAGCTCTCTCAAAAATGAGAATGTTTCAGATTTGTATTTCTTCCCCTCCCTCAATTAGTGTTGCCTTCTTATGACTGCCAAGATTTTAATATTTGTTGTAACCCACTGGTTCTTCGTAAAATTCCTATATCAAGTGCAATCTAATGCAAGTTTAGACAGAAAAA